AAAAAAAAAAAAAACGAAAAATTAAAACTTTAGTGTCACAAGTGTGATGAGAACATAGCTAGGTCCATTTGTTTACATATTGTCTATGGCTGCTTTGCACTGCTACAGTAGAGAAGCTGCAACAGAGATGATAGGGCCTGCAAAGCGTGACATGTTTATCATCTACCGCTGCAAGAAGAAGTTTGCCCAACCCTCTACTAGAGCCAAAGAGGAGCCTCCGCTGGGCATGGTGGCTCACGCCTGTAATCCCAGCACTTTGGGAGGCCATGGTGGGCGGATCATGAGGTCAGAAGATCGAGACCATCCTGGCCAACATGGTGAAACCCCGTCTCTACTGAAAATATAAAAATTAGCTGGGTGCAGTGGCAGGCACCTGTAGTTCCAGCTACTTGGAAGGCTGAGCAGGAAAATCGCTTGAACCCAGGAGGCGGAGGTTGCAGAGAGCCGAGACCCGAGATCAAGCCACTGTAGTCCAGCCTGGTGATAGAGCAATACTCCATCTCATAAAGAAAAAAAGAGGAGTCTCATCTTGTAATGAAAAAGGCCGGCAGCCAATAGCCAACAGTAGGGGGGAGAGGAATGTAGCGATGGGAGAGAGGAGGGTGACCTTGTTCCAGGGAAGATGATCTCTGCCTCTCCCGTCAAGGGGACAGCCTGTTAGCCTAGGGATCACGGGGTACAGTCTGCTCCTTTTTTATGAGTAACCTCATCCCCTTTCCCCCAGTTTCTTTTCCTCCTCACTCAGAGTTCAGTGGAGCTATCTCAGATTCAAGTAAAGCTCAGAAGAGCACAGCACACAAACATGCAGACCCGACCTGGCCTTTCGTCCCCAGCACAGGCTCTTCCCAGGCCTCTCAGCACAGCTCTCCAGTGCTCACAGAAGGAATGCTCGGCCTGGCAGCTTCCAGCCATCTCTGCATCTCCCCTTCAGCTGGCAGAGCTGATGCCCTCCGGCTTCTGACTGCCAAGCCTCACGCAGACCTTGTTTTGGACTGATCTTGTCCATTCCCTCCTCAGACCTCAGCCATGAAACACCCTCTTCTTGAGTTTTCCCCAGTCTCCAGGAAGCCCAAAGTCACATTCAGGGTTTGTGCTGGCTACTTTGAGGTTAACCCAAACTCTTTCTGTCTCTTGTTGACAGACTTAGACTTAGGTACTTTCCTGAGGCTTTCTACTTCCTTTAGACGGCGTCTCTGCCCTTTAAAGTTGACACCTCTTCATCACCCACCTGTTGCATATAAACCACTTCTACTCCAATGTCCCCTCCCAGCACCAGAGATGGTAGATTTAGGGGTGTTGAAAAAAGCAAGAGCGGGAACACCAAGCCCCACCACACATATCTCCTCCCCAAACCATCTCTACCATAGCATGATCCTCCACGGTTCAGAGAGAGGAGAGCGCTTCCTGGGTCAGTGTACTCTAGAGGGGAGGATGGTAACATGGAGTCTATTTGTAAACCTGGGGACAAGGGGAGACCAAGGAATGAGAGAATCTGGTGGGAGGCTCTCCTGGCATGGTGTTCTCTCCCTACCTCACCACCCTCCATGTCCATCTGGAGCCTCCCACCGGAGCTCTGCTCTTACAGGTTTTCTGGGAGAAGGTGGCTTAAGGCTGAGACACTTATGCCCTGGGCCAGCCACTGGGTTCCTATGCTCCGCTTCACTCCTAGTTACCAGAAAGGCGCAATCTGGATGAGTGGAAGGAGAAGGTTCAAACTCTTCACCAGACCACATGCTGCAGCTGCGAGCACCTGCTTACAGGGAGCCCTGGGGGTTGGGGAAGTCCAGGAGCTAAATTTAGTCCAAAGGCTGCAACTTAAATTGGGTGGGTATTTACCCTGGGGAAGCTGGGAGGGGGAGGGGAGAGGAATCCTGACCCAGCTGAACTTGTGAGAGCACAGATCACCCCTAGTGTCACTGATACGCGAACCACAAACCCCCTCCCCCAGCACACTCTCAGAAAGGAGGCATCCTCAGCAATTTGCAGGCCTTTTGCATGCCTGCTCTCTTGTGCATATCAAGTTTGTTCCTATTACCACCCCACCCTCGTCTCAATTCTCTGGGGCCCAGTTCCTCTGAGTCCTTCCCTAAATGTCCCCTAGTGCACCAAACCCAGGGGCCCTCCTCACATCTCTCTGCCCTCGGGCTGCAGCTTCTGCTCTCCCAAGTCCCTCCAGAGGGTTTCAGAGGTCACCGAAGAGGTGTGTGGCCACACTACTCCCCTCTAGGGGGCCAGGAAAAGGGGTTGCTGGAGGTCAGGTTCTCCTTCCTGAGAACTTCCACATTGACCCCATACTGACCTCAGTGACCAGGGGAAGGAATCCTAAGGGGCTGCACTGGGTCCCAGCTCTAAAGAGAGGAAAAGGGACAAGACCCCCAAAGGAGAGCCCACCTCCTGAGAGGACAGCGGCTGGAGGCCGAGGGGGAGCTCAGGGGCTGGCAGAAACAGAAATAGGGTGCTGAAGCTGGGGAGCACTGCGAGGGGCTGCGACGGCACCTCCACCTGCCATTGGTTCTCAGGCTCAGGCCAAACGCCAAACCTGCCCAGCAACAGCCCTGAGCAGAGGGAGGGGAGCTTCGGGGAAGTCAGCTGAGTCGGCGCCGCCCAGCTCCGGGCTTCCAGGAATCGCTGGGAGGGCCGCAGCCTCCACCCTGCCCCTCCCTGGGTCTGGGGACTGCGCCTTCGGCATTCTACACCTACTGGGCGTGCTCGGGTCCCGTTTCCCTGGCCCCCCACCTCCGTGATTCCCTGCTGACGCCTCTTTAGGCCCGGTGGAGACTCTGGGACTGGGCGTTCCTTGCAGCCCCCTTTCCTCGCTCCATGCCCTGGGCTGACGTCAATGTCATCCTCCTCCTCCTCCATTCCCTTTTGCCTCCTTCCCCACTCGCTCTCCTCCTAAATGTCCAAATTCTCCCTTCTCAGCCACTTGCAGCCCAGAGCAAGCCCGAGCCCCTAAGCAGCGGGGAGATGTCGCCGCCTCGAGCAACTCCGTCGCCCGCCGCGGGGTTCAGGTGTGCTCGGAGGGCAGCAGCCAGCGAGTTCCCCGCCTCCGAGGCCCCGCGTTCCCGGCCGTGCCCGGCGGGGCTGCTGCTGCGGCACCGCCCCTCCCGGCAGCCCGGCTTCCAGGAGACTCGGCCTCAGCTCCGAAGGGCCGGGGTCAGGGAGCCGGCGTGATGGCAAAGGCCTGCCCCCCTGCGGCCGCCTCTAGCAAGTTCTCTACCTTGAGAGAAGGGGGGGAGGGAGGCGGCCCGGCTGAGCCATCTCTGAGGAATGTGGCTTTGGCAGGACACCCCGTGCTGCCCGCTGCTCCCCGCTCCCCGGCCGGGCTCCTCCTCCTCCAGGGGAGGGTTCGGGGCAGGAAGGAGAAGCCCCAGAGCGTAGGGCGATGCGGAAGGCAGAAAGGGGGACAGAGGCAGGGACAGAGGCAGGGCCAGGGGAAGGGGAAAAAAGAGCTTCGGCAAGCCAGCTGCCCTCCGGTCTGGCCCTGGTGGAAAGGCGAGACTTCCCGGAGAGATTCGGCCCACCAACAAGCGCACGGCGCCGCGCGGCCCGGAGGCCCAGCGCCCCACACACCTCGGCTGAGCGCACTGGTGACCTCTAGTGGCCCATGACCAGCCTGCAGGGCCTGGGGCTGGCGGGGTTCCTCTGGTCCAAACTCTCCTCTTGGGCTCTGATGCAGTTCCCCTGCCCCCTACCTTCTGCCTTCCTACTGCTGAGGGGCCCGCAGCCCGACAAGGAAGAGCCCGTTTCTCATGTGTCATAACCATCTTTAATAAAAAATAAATTAGTTCTGGGTGGGAACCATTTCAGGAGGCAGGGCGTGGGGCTTGGGCCTGGGGTCTCATGCTCACATTTCTCTTTTCCAGCCTCTGCCCAGCTGGGCCTTGCTCTGGAGAGGCAGTCTCTCTGCTCCTGCCTTCCCAGGTAAGGCAGGATTGGCAGTGGCTGACCCCAGCCCTAGCTAAGCAGGCAGGCAGGGGCAGGGGATACTAGGCAAACGAGAAGGGGTCAGAGACTCAGGGCGGTTTAGAAGATGAGGCCTGAACATGAGCAGTGAGGCTTCCAGCACAAAACTGGAGTTGGTGGGAGACCACCCTCTAAGCAGCCCGGATTAGCGAGGAACTGCAAACTTGCTTTCCTCTCTGCCTAGGAGTCTCAGGGAAACAGGCCTTGTCCTCCTCAGTCTGTGTAACTTCTTTTTGAAAAATGATACACGTTTGAGCACACACACATCCACGCAGTCCCAGATGCACACCTGGGGCGTTTGTGCACACCCATCACACCACCCCACAGGCCCGACCACAGCCCTGAAAGCCGCTGTCACCTCGCCACCCCCATCACCTGGAGGACATTCCTGCTGAGACTGGGACAGGCTGGAGAGCCAGGGGGTTCAGAGTGGGCCAATCAATGGGTGACCGATGGTGGCATAGAAAACCATGAGGGTGTCCCGGACCCCTTTCAGGAGGGCTCTTGGGGAGACCGCTCCTGGACATTTGCGCAAGAGCGGCAACAGGTGGCTGTGTAGTAGGGGTAGACGCAGAGCCGGGCCTGGACCACCAGGGGGCAATGTGGAGAGCTGTCCTTGCATTGATCATCTGGGGACAGAGGAGGCCAGTGGGAACAAGCCTGTCACCAGGACCCACCCGTCTGGAGGTGTGCTGCCCATTCCCAGTGGTCCTGTCTCATCTCCTCCCGTACTTCAGCTAATCCACTCTATTGGGGTTTGGGGAGAGGGGTCTCTTTACCAGGGCGCTGGCTGCAGGGTTGGCTGTTACAGGAGCGCTTCCTGGAGGGCCTCTGGTGAGGAGGACATCGGGTGCTGAGGGTCTGGTTGGCGCTCAGGCACTGGACCTCCCGCGTCTGCAGTCCCCCCTGGCAGGAGCGAGAACACTGGGGCGACCCCGGCTGTCCTATCAGACTTTTGCCAGGCCCGGGATGCTCCTTAACCCCCGGCTGGCACCTCCCTCCCCAAAAGCTGGTGGTTGGGACCCTTATAGGACATTGTGAAATCCCAGATGGAGAGGGCCCATTTGTCCTCCAAGTCGACAAGAAATGGGACAATGGTAAAGCTTGGCTCTTATCATGGGACACAGAGAGACCTGTAGGGGTACAGCGAACGGAGCACCCTTCCGCTGGGGGCCCAGGCTGAGCAGGGCAGGGCAGGGCAGCCCAGCACTCACCGGGCTCCAGGGTGTGGAAAACCATCGGTCCTGGCAGGCCTGCCCTTGACAGGGCTGCAGGGAAGGGGGCCTGGGCAGGTGGGAACAGTTGCTCAGAGAAGTCACGTTGAACTCCGTGCCCAGTTTGGACACACAGATGATGTCTCTCCGCTGTGTGCCGGAGCCGCATTCGGAGGAGCACTGGGTGGGGGAGGGCAGGGTAATGAGGGGAGGACAGGCACCCCAAGTGCCCACGGGGAATCCCCTCAGGACTGGCACCCCCTTCCTGCCCTCAGCAGACGCTCAGCTCACCTCACCCCAGGGCCCTGTGTACCAGCGCCACGTCCTCTCACAGGGCCCCAGGCTGCAGGCGCGCATGTCAGGGGGGCGGCTTCCTGGTGGACAGCTCTGCTCAGTTCCTGCTCCTGCTTCACCCTGGCCCACCCTGTGGGCTGCCCCGCTCCCGAGGCAGACCACAGAGCGCCTCTGGATTCCCGTCCCACACTCGGCTGAGCACTGCGGAGCAGGAGAGGTCTGTGTGAGGGTCCTGCTGTGACTGGCACAGGGGACAGGACGGGGGCCGGGAGGGACATATCCTGGGTCTGAATCTGGGTAGGAGGGAACGTCCCTGGGTACCAGGCCTGTCGGGGAGTCCTAGCCGGGCCCTGGGTGCCGGGCCTGTCGGGGAACCCTAGCCGGGCCCCTCGTGTAAGTTGGGGCGGTGCTGGAAAGGCTGAGGGTGTCCTGGGCGTGGTCATCCAGGACGCAAGACATGGCTAGGGAGTTAGGGGCTCACCTTGGAGCTCCAGTCGCTGTGGAACCAGGCCGTGGTACAGGGCCCCATGTCACAGGCCTCTCTGCTGGGGGGCTGTGGGGGGCCCGACGCACACTCCTGCTTGCTCACTTCATCACCGGTGTTCCCCACACAGCGAACCTGCCGGCTTCTCTGGCCCCGGCCGCAGCGCACGGAGCACTGAGGGGGCGAGGGGAATCCGGGGAGCTGGGCTTCTCAGGGCTTCTCATCCAGCCTCCAGCTCTAGGGCTTCAGAACCCGGCTCTGGCTTCCATCCCCAGCCCAGCAGTCACATGGCTTCGTGGGCTGAGGAGGAGGCTGAGCCCCGGGGCCCTGGGCCCCCAATCCCTGGTTCAGTCCCTTATCTGACTTCTATATCGGGGTTCCATAGGAAGCCCTGTTTGTAAATAGCTTCCGCTGATGAAGAAGTAGTCGGAAAGCCTCTGCTATGCTCCCCGGTACCCATTCCCCTCCCAGCCCCTTCCTGCCCGGCACACTGACCTGGCTCCAGGGAGAGCCAACTTCCCAATGGCCACATAGGCGCAGCTGGCAAGACTGGGTGATGTTGGGCCGGGGAAGATGTCCACAGCGCTCTGGGGGCACCGAGGAGCCACCCCCCCCAAACTCCTGCCGGCACTGGAGCTGGCGGTGCTGGGTACCAGGGCCACAGGAGCGGCTGCAGGATGTCCACTCGCCAGCCTCCCAGCTGCGGGCACCGGCAGGGCAGGGAAGAGGAGAAGACAGATGAGACGCGTGGGGCTGCCCCGGCGGGGGAGAGGAAGACACGCCGGACGTGTGGGGCCTCGGAGGAGAGTGGGCACGTTTGGCGTTTGGAGTCTGGGTTCCTGTGGGGGCTCAGGCTGCTGTGGCTTTCTTGCTGCCTACGGAACGTCTGCCTTTCTAATCTAATGTTGTCTCTCTGCAGCCAGGAGATGTCACATTGAGTGCAGAGTTCAGGTAAGATTTCGGGGACAACCGCTGTGTTTCCAGTACCCTAACCCTCCCCGTGGGCCATACTCACTATGAGGGGCACGGGGGGCCGTGGCAAGGTTCAGGGGAGGCTGGGGGCCTGGCACCCACGGTGCAGCTGCGTTCATCCAGTTCCTCTCCCGACTCACGGGAGATGCAGAGGAAGATGGGGCGCCAGACACCTGCGTGTGTGAGAAGGCAGCCGGGGTGGCAGGAGGCTTAGTGGCGTCCCAGACGCAGGGGTGGGCATGGCCCCACAATCCGAGATGTGGGATCAGGAGTGTCAGGTGGGGGTTTGGCCGAGGTTCAGGAAAAGCACTTCGAGGTCTCACCTTTCCCGCAGGATGCTGAGCACGCGGAGTATCCCACTCGTTTCCAGTATGCAGCTGGAGCCCCCAGGGGTGTCCTGGGATGGGGCGGGGCGGGCATCTGGGGTATCCGCACCTGACGCTGAAGGGTTCCTGGGGTACGGGCTGGGCGGGGCACTGGAGCTAGTGGGGGCTCCACCCTCAGAATCTCTGCAGGGGAGCAGGAGAATCAGATGCCACCCCACCTCCCCGGACCCTCTGCCTCCTCCTTCCAGGTGCAGGGGTCAGTCTTACCAGGCTGAAGCTGGGGCACAGGGGGCTCTGGGGTGGGATTTTCAAGGACTGGAGGAGGTGAAGAGATGACATACTGATAAAAAACGCCTGGGTTTTCCTCCTGAAAGATCATCTGAGAAGAGAACAGATGAATGTTTGGGGGTGGCCAGAGGGGGATGCCAGCAGCTCTCTCTCCCATCTTGACACCCACAGCTCTGCCCTTAGAGGGAATGGCCTCCCTCCCCAGCATCCAGCTGCCCCCGGCCCCAGGCTCACATAGACATCCACAGGCTGGGTGGTGGGGCCTTCAGCCGACAGACTCTCCCCTTTGCCCTCCTCCCGTGGAGGACGGTTATATTGAAAGACAGTCCCCCCAGCACTGTAGGACCCAGGGGGATCCACGGCCCAGTTCCCATTGATGATGGACTGGCCCCCAGGGCCACGAAGTGCTGTGGGTCAGAGGTGAGAGATTAGGAAATTCCTGGGTGGTAATACCTTCCTCTCCCCCTGCAGCCTGAGCCTATAGAACCTCCCAACAGAACCTAAGGTCTCCCCGAGCCCTCTTAGCTTCCTTGCTCCTTCCATGAGGAAGGGGCAGGGCCCTGGACTTCTCCATTTGGCTTGCTCACTGTGCTGAGTGGGAGTACAGAGGGCAGAACAGAGACGGGAGTGGAGGGGAGGCAGCTGGGTGCTCACCCAAGTAGTTGGAACTGGGCCGGAGCTGGGCAATCTGGAGCCGTGAGGCTCCTGCTGGAATCCACAGTATCTTCTGATAGCCCAGGGGGCCCCCTCGGTCAGTGAGGTTCCCCGAAACAAGGCGACAGGTAGAATCATCACCCCCACAGACTCCACAGCCATCAGGACGCCTGCCAGAGCCAAGGATTCCATCACAGCCGGGGCTCTGGAGAGAGTGAGGTGAGGCAGCGGCCACAGAAAGCCAGACACCACCTCAGCCCACCCCAGGCCCCTTGGGAGAGCTCACTACCCTGCTCTTTGTGCCACAGTGAGAGCACAAAAACAGCCCCACTGTCCCCAGCCAGACCCAGGGACGTGGACAGGTGCCTGATCAGATCCTTCTGGCTCTGTTCAGCCCAGCTTGGCAGGTGAGAATTCTCCCTTAGTGATCTCAGTCTGGTGTTC